CATATTGTTTTGATGTGTTAATAATGCTTATAATCTGCCCTAGGCCTGAATAACCTAAACATCGCGGCCACCGTGAGGTCTGGTTTACAGGCACCTGACGATGAAATAACGTTTATATGAGGTTGTTTCGTCGAAATCATCTCGTAATCAACGTTCTACCAGCGAAATCATCTCGTTATCACGATTGTTTCACAGAAATCAACTGGTGATGAAGGTTGTTCCGACGATTGTTTCACAGAAATCAACTGGTGATGAAGGTTGTTCCGACGAAATCAAGTACGAGCTGCGGTGGTGCAGTGGTGAGAGACTCTGTCTCTCGCACCCAGCTCCCGGGCTTGAGTCCCACTGAGGACAAGTTCTTCCGGGAAGCTCAGCTCATGGTCAACTCAGCCATTCATCCAACTCTGATTGATAAATGAGTACCTAACTTGTCCAGGGTGTTGTGTAATGCAATCAAATGGTTCTGGCGGGTCAGCGAGCCAGTGATGGTCGTGGAACTACCAGTGGCACCAAGTGCCCGGAAAAACTGACCTATCACCCCCTCCCTTACCTAGTCGCTACTACCAGGATGGGCAATTACAACAACAACAACGAAATCAAGTCGAAATGAAGGTTGTTTCAACGCCCTCTGCCTGGAGGGAGCAGTTCGTGCGGTTGGCAACACTCACCTTAAGGCGCTTAGGCCGATCTTCGTCAGTAGCGGGGAGGTCGTGGGAGGAGGAGGTGGTGGCACGTCGGCTGCTGCTGCTCCACGCTCCCTGCAAAAGAAGGATAAGAGCTTATATCCATTTTTATTGAGTAATGCCCTTAATACTGCAATACAAACAATATGAAATGAGACCGCTTTGTTTCTCTCAATGGTAAAATCATACATGATTTTTCATCTATCTTGCATTATTGAGGATTGAACGGAGGATGAAATGTAATTTATTTTAAACAGCAAGACCCCTTGCCTGAAACATGCTTCCCTCACTCCCAAAATAGGTACCTCCCCCATATATATTCCCGACTGTAGCATGACTCACTCACCCCCAAAGGTTCTGTCTCCCCCTCCCACTCCCGAAATCTGGTCCCACCACTCACCCCACACCCCCAAGATCTGGTCCCCCACTCACCTCACTCCCCTAAGGCTTGGTCCNATGTCCTCACAATATCGCAGATGTCCTCACAATATCGCAGATGTCCTCACAATATCGCAGATGTCCTCACAATATCGCAGATGTCCTCACAATATCGCAGATGTCCTCACAATATCGCAGATGTCCTCACAATATCGCAGATGTCCTCACAATATCGCAGATGTCCTCACAATATCGCAGATGTCCTCACAATATCGCAGATGTCCTCACAATATCGCAGATGTCCTCACAATATCGCAGATGTCCTCACAATATCGCAGATGTCCTCACAATATCGCAGATGTCCTCACAATATCGCAGATGTCCTCACAATATCGCAGATGTCCTCACAATATCGCAGATGTCCTCACAATATCGCAGATGTCCTCACAATATCGCAGATGTCCTCACAATATCGCAGATGTCCTCACAATATCGCAGGTGTCCTCACAATACCGCAAGTGTCCTCACAATATATGTAATGCATCCTATACAGTATATAGTACAGTACAGTATAATTAAAGTGACGTATTACCGTGTTAGCGTTAAAGATTCGGTCAAGTCCGGCCTGACGGATTTCAGACATCGAAGAATTTTTCACAGTTTGCTGTGACTTGAACCCGAAACTCACTGCTTCATTCTCACCGCTCTGTACCACACGACCGCCTCACCGAGTGCTTCTACGGCAATGTTATTCAGTTTTGCTGGCGGCATGAAAGTTTCTCAAAAGAGGCATCTTGAATAATGAATGGCGAGAAATGGCTGGCTCGTTATGAAAAAGTTCTTTGTTATAATTGAAATCCATGTTGCAGAAAAAAATTTTGTTATAATTGAAATATTTTACAAACTACGTTATTTGAACCGATAATTGTTCGTATATTATGCAAGCGATTTGCATTGCTTTGTACCGGCAGAACTCATATTTGTAATGTCTGGAAGGAACACGAGCCGTGACAGTAAGTTTCTATAACAGCAATGTTTTTTTTTTCTTTACAAATATTTCACTTGTGTTGTGGTCAATTGTCTAAACATAAATTAAATGATATAGTTGATGTAACTCTACAACGATTAGCTCACTCAATTCATGGATTGTAATCCATACTTGGTCACATTCATGTACAAATTACGCGGTTCCCAACGTGTGGTGATATAGGGTAACTATTTCAGAAGTTACCCCACAAACTTGCAGCAGGTGCACCGAGGAAGTAAATAAAGATATTCTGGGTAACTAATAGATTAACTATGTCGCGCATGGTATAGATGAAATTTATTACATATAATGGGATAGCAATACGTCTATAGCATGATATAGAGAGGGAGAATTAAGGAGAGAGAGATGTGAAAGAAAGAGAGAAGTGAGCGAGAGAGTTTCTCAAAACTCTTTCTCGGTAACAGAGATTGGTGAGTTATTTTCAAAAAATTAAATTTGAATTGAAGTGACAATTAAACTAATGATATTATGGATCAAGTTTCGCGAAGATGATAGCTCGATGCATCAACATTCGGTTCCCAAAAGCAATAACTGAAAATAAAGCATATAATGAAGACAGTGTTTTTTAATAAATACTCATTATGAAGACAAAGAAAGAGTCCACTAAAGAAAATTGAGATTTTTACTAAAAATTGCGGATGGCGACGTAGTTTTGTTAATCTTAATTTAATCGGGAATAGAATGAAAGAGGATGCATAGGTTGAGGAGAAGCTACTGACAATTTCAGAAAGCACATCCAGACTGTTATACTACAAGATGAAACAAGCAACAAAATGTTATTCATATTATAAACATTTACATGGAGGATGCAAGTGCAACAGCCATACGTGTAATATCAATACTCACACTGAATGAGAACAAGAGTGGAATCGACGGCTTTTAGAAACACAACCTTCCTCTATTACGGCCACAGCCGAACTGAATGGTTACTATAATTCATTTGAATATAAATGATATTTTTATAAATCTGAATGTAATCTAGATAGACATTAGACAGGTAAATTCAATTTGTAGTTTTTATTTCTAGGTAATCTACTCAATTGATCCCTGCATGAGAAACGTGATGCTAATTGAGTTACCAATGTGATTCAAGAAATTTTTAACATTTGACATATAATTAATAATGATTGTTAAAGTTAAATTTAATTTATACATCTCTGTAAAATCATGTCAATGAAAGAACATTGAGAAGTGAAAGTCTTTATTGAAACTTGTGAATAAAAAATCTATTTTCATCTGTTCGACACGTTCAAAGAAACTGAGCCTGAGTGGGAATTTCGGGGGACACTTGCATGGAAAAATTCCCGAGCAAATTTCTCTAAAAAAATCCTTTCTAACGTGCGTCGATCTAAGTAATCGAATAGTTAATAGTAACTTAGAGAGAAATTTTTTTCACGCAGCAAGACTCGAGCATAACGTATTCAGCTTTCTTTTCTGAGATTGACAAAATTAACCTCATTCTCAGGTATAATTACAATCAATACAAATAATTTAAACACACCGTCATATTGTCCAACACGACACGTATATCAGATTAAATATTAGGCAATTACAAATTATTTACTTCAAGTTGCAGTTAAATATGGTTGATTCATGACCATGATTATAAAATTTATAGTTACTTAAAAAATTGCGTAAAAAAAATTGTAGACCCTAAAAATGTTAATATTATCTGGGAGTGTCGGTGATGTGCAAAATTATGACATTTTAATGAATAAAGTATAAAAAGGCGTTCGCATAGCTAGGGCATAAATTTTTTAGGTTTACCAGTTTGGTTTTTAATGTTTTAGATACCAGTTATATAATATGTACGTCTGCTTTATGAATTTTAATGTTGCATACTACGTCCTAACTCTTACGTGTTCTTAACGAGATGTTAATGTTTACTAATTTGATTTGAAAAGGCGCAGCTCTTATTTATGCACATTACATCTAAACACATTATTACAGAAAAAATTAAATCTAATCACACACAAAAAGCTCCTGTTGATATATGAATAATTTTTGGTACTATCAACTTAAAAACTGTATTAAAAATTCAAAATTTACTTAAATTTTAGTAATGAGCTACGAAATAAAAATATGAATACTTGCAAATATTTCGACGGTACAATTGCAACGCCGAACTAGTTTTTCAGAATTGTGCGTACGCCATGTCAATAAAATGCCAAAGACTTCCATTTAATAAATGATTCATTCACATTGATATAATCATATCTATATTAAAAAATTATGAAACATTCTAAACATCATATGATAATGAACATAAAATTGTGGCTAAAAGCGTCTAAAATATGATAACCTGAGCAGATTTTTTATTCATTTTACCTAATCAGCAATCAGCATGCATCAGTAACTAGTGCCACTGTGTATTGATAATATGTCTGCAAAATATATTAATTTCAGGAAAATAAGGTCCATAAATTTGCCATCACTAAAAAATTGTTAGTGAATGCTATAAATTCATGAATACAACTTCGTCAGCTTAATGAAGTCACAGTTTATGCAGTACCCATATTTCTCAATTATAGATTTCTGCCAGTATGTGCAGCTAAGTTCAACTGATGAAAAAGGTACATAGATAAAGTATTTACCATGATATTTGGAAATATAATCTTTGTTTCACAGCCAAAGTATTAAATGGACATTTTTTCATACATTTTCAGTGGCTTATAGTCACTTACATTCCTGAATCTACCGAACGACATTATCACCTCTATCATAAGATCATCAATCTATTACAAATGTTGTTGAATGAAATCTATTTTTAAAATTACTTTCATTGCAAGTTTTAATGGTGGAGTGAATATATCTGAATTTGTCTGGGATAAGCTTCCTGTGTGGAACGAGGCATGTGTACTAAGGAGGTGCGCATATTACTACGCGGAAGCTCGAAATCTTCTGAACGTTTGGCCGAGTCCTAAGTGCTTCTCATTTGTAAAGCTTTAAGATTAGGCGTTCTCAATAACGCTACAAAACAAACGTGTGCTTGAAACTAAATATTATGGTGTGATGTAAGTATTATTCTATAGTTTTTTGAGTATTTTTATTTATGTATGAGTGTACAACGACTTTAGCGTCTCTAATTCATGTATTTCTTCTTTTTTGTAAACGGCAAACAGCTGATTTTGACGTAGAAAGACACCATCAGGGTCATTTACCTTTAAAAAGTCTTATGATATACAGTGTTAGTGCTAATTTTAACAAAATGATCATTGTTTTGTTTACTTTTTCTGTGATATGGCATGAAACTGCAACATATCATGATCTGGTTCTGAAGAGTGATGCATGACGAAAAGACGTTTATTGCAATCAGATTCTTCGCAAACGTTTTTTCCTAACAATTTGGAACGTTTTTTCGTTGAAAACATCGTAGAGTTGTAGGGTGCATTGAGAGTGTTCATCTGGCCAATTGTTTTGTGAAGTAACCTTGAGAACATAGCAATGCCTTGCTGATGACCATTTATTTACAATCAACTTCAAAATGAATTTATTTTCATTAATGCTAGTTAGCTAACTGTTTATTTTTTACACTATCAGTATCACCATGCATGTAACATTTGTGGTATTCAGTCATTTCAGTGAAGAGTAAACTGTCCCATAACCCATGTCTGCATGCATTGCATGGTTTTCTGCAATCTGCTTTGCAGTGTCCACATGCCACATGGTGTCACAGCTCCTAAAGTTTAAGCTTGGTATTGTTAATTGTGAATATAATTTATAATGAAAATTGTTTGCATATCATATCATTCAGTTTTTATTGTTTTATGATCTGATCCAAACAATTATATTAGTTGCTTTCAGATTTGACAAGCGAGCAATGCATAGGATTCAAACTGCCCCCAAATGTGTCAAAATAACTTCAAAAATGCACAGAGAAATCAATAAGACAAATTTTTACAGTAATTATGATTAAAGTATATCCACAAGACCTCAACAACTTTAAAGAAAAAATTTCTCTGTTCAGTGTTAAATTTGCCAAATTGTTGAATTGATGAAGAATATTATGTTAGTGTTAGCTTACTATAACTTAGCTATTCAAGCTGACTTAACAATAATAATATTAAGTCAATTTTTTTTTTCTGCATTAGGTTATTTTAAACCCTATCCAGTTTGCATTATATAGGTACATGTGAATATACATATTAAATATTTAATTGAAATTTGAAACATTAACCAACATTGGGGTGAAAATTTCATAAATTTGTGGGCGCAACAATTGTAGCTTTTTTAATCGCTCCTTCTAAGTTCTAACTACAGATCTATCCTCCCATTTTTATTGATTTTAAACTAGGTAATTTGACTATAACTTGAAGCTCTTGCCAGTTGCCTTTGCTTTATAATTAACTGGCCTCTAATAAAAATTTCCTTAATAAAATTAAACTAGCAATATTCCAGAACATGTAATGAGCTTTCAAATTTTTTTAATTTGCATTGAGCATCACAAATAATTTTTTTATTCATATACAACCATTTCAATTGAAAAGTGGCAAGTTAAGTGCTTATCCTCTGGGCAACCACTGGCCACTCCTTTATTACAACACTTCTCTTCAACCTCATTTCTTCTTTGTCTGTCTGTCTGAGCTACAAATCTTATAATCAACATTTAACACACTTCTACCTGTCCAATCGATCTGAAATTTGGCGCACTTGCATAAAGTTGGAGACAATGCATTAATCAATTGACAGAATAATGAATTTTATAAATTATAATTTTTTTCATTATAAAAGAAAATTTAAATATAATTTTGTCTGCTGCAAATCTTATACTAATCCATATTTGACACAATTTGACTTGTCCAATTGATCTGAAATATTGCACAATTGCATAAAGTCAGAGACAATACGTGAATCAGTTGACAGAATAAATAATTTTGAAAATGTACAAAATTTGGATACGTATATCAAATAATTTTTGAAAAATAATATCTTTTAATATTTGATAATAAAATTAGAAATTCATTGTACATGTGTAACATCCAAGACACTGGATTCTTCAGAAGTGTTGTCTTTAAAAAGGTATTTTTAAACAGATATTTTTTTCCATCTAATTAAGATGAAGGAAACACAATGGAAATCCAAGACTTGATCACATGCACACCCTCAGGCCTCAGTCTGTCACCCTGATCATATGGGAGTTGATATATTTTTTAGATACGGTTCAGAGGTTAACAGAAATTTGTAAGCTAATGCAACCTACATGATTTTAAGTAATATAGCTGCAAAATACTGCTCATCCACCACTATCTAGCTTCAGTCTACTGTAGTATTTAGCCTATTCTAAAATGTTTTCATATGGTGGTTCCTTTTTATAATATTTTGTGATTTAAAGAAATTTAAAGAGTTTCAGTAGTTGATGCTCCTCTTCAAATGAATTAATGTCATCTAATGGGAGAACCATTGCATGCTGGATTTCAATATTGGGGCATAGACAAATTTATAAAGTGCAGATGTTGCTATTGATCAATACCCATTTGATATTAATAAGGCTAAATATTCTATTTATACCAACCAATTCTTCTGCATATTTTGAAGCAAGCAAGATACAATTTTTTATACCTACATATATTAAAGTACAGTATACCATATTTTTAGAGTTTTAATTTTTACTATATATTAGAGATTAATCATATTTTGTTTTTAATTCAGAATTTGTAATAGAATTTATATAGAAATTGTTGATGCAGTTTTCTTCATTTCAATGAATTGTTTGCACTACAGCTTGTTTCTTGCTGGATCAACATCACATTCAAAGCAGCCATGACTGAGCCACCGGCTTACGGGGACATGAATGACTCGGAGGAGGAGGATAACGATTTGCAGGAGATGGAAGATGAGGGAGATGATGATGGAGAGGATGCTGATGAAAATGATGATGATGATGAAGAAGAAGAGATAGAGGAAGAAGTGGATGAGGAGGAAGAAATTGATGATGAGTATGGAGAACACTCTGATTTGGGGGTGAGTGGACCAAAGGTACCTTTAATTTAAAGTATGAAGCTTCATACAGTACCCAAGTATCACCAGTTCCATGATTGTTTTTTGTTAAATTTACTTATGTTAATTTTTTCTGATCATGATAACTGAAATTGTTTGAATTTACAAAAATTTGTGTTATGTTTTATCTAGTTACTTGATGAATTTTGTCTGATTTTGAAATTTTCACTTGTCAGGTCACTCCTCCTAAGAAGACCAACTCTATGTACTCGGGCTTCAATGACATCATCTCCGGGCCCAATTCATATTCTAGCCAGTCAGCCACATATACCACAAATATTGGCTTGAGCTCACATGAAGGTGATGGACATACAAGAAGTGCTGTCAATGTCCAGATGGTAGCCAAGTCTGCCACAGGAGTCGCATCTTATGATGGCTCACACACCAGGGTAGAAAATCCCTTATTTGATGACCTGAGCTACTACAGTGGTGACCTCAGTGATGACGCCAGCACTGGTCCTTCTCTGCCTAGCATCACTGAACAGGATGTGAGCACCCACATCAAAGGCTCCTTGTCATTTGGCCTCCCCAAGAAACTTATGATGAAAACAAAACTTTCCTCTGTACGTTCCAGCCGACCAATCTTGTTATCTAAAACCTCTATCAAAAAACCTGGGCCAAAGAAAAATGTGGGACGGGGCAATAAATCCTTTGTTGGGGATGGCAAGGATCTAAGCAATGGTGCTGAAGGTGTGGGTGAAGGTGGGTCGTGTGGAGCATCAGGAGGACTGCTGGTGCACAGACCTGTGGTGCCCCGCAAGAAGGAGACCATCAATATAGACCATCTCAGTGAGGAACTCCAGCAAGGTTACAAGTGAGTGTGTCACCTGTGAAATTGATAGACAAATGACAACGTGAATGAGAGATAATTAAATAAGTTGAATGCTAGATCATCAAAGGAAAAATTGAATCTGTCAGTGTCTTGAAAAAGTTGAATCCGTCAGTGGCTTATTTGTTGGACAAAGTCAAGTCACATAAAATATATCTTATTTCATTTATTGCATACTTGACGAACATATGTTCTTGATTGTGTTTGGTTAGCTTCTTTTGGGTCTTAACAGGCTCATCAGAAAATGTTTAATATTTTTTTTAACTAACTCAATTTGAATAACTTGCATGAGAAATATTGCCTCCATATTAATAAGTCAGTAAATTAGTTAAGTACTTTCAAGGGGCTTTCCAAGTTCATTCTTCATGCTAACCCCAGCAGCAACATAGATTTTCACCATTGCTACAACAGATAATATTAAGTCACACATCATTCTGACTAAAAGGAATGTTGCTGCTGTGCAGGATTGTGTCGGAGCTGATGAGCGACTACCACCGCACCAGCAACAGCGTCTACATGGATGAGCTCGACCTCGACCCCGTGCGCAACAGGGAGTATCTCGAGGTCATCCAGAAGCCTGTGTGGCTCAAGAAAAGTGGGTACCCAATACTGGTTAAACTTCGTTTGATGAATTATCTTACTTATGTGAGTTTCCCTATACTGGTTAAACTTACTGTGATGCATCATCTGACATATGTCACAATGTGAGTGATTCATGTATCAATCGGTTGACGTCATCATCCTGAGACTGTGCGAGTTGAGATATGCGTCTTTCATGTTACAGTTTGCTGTGGTGCATAACTTATAATTACATTATTTTAAGGTTTTTGCTACAAATGATGTTAGACTTTGAAGTTTTTGCTCGCATTGTTGCCCCATACCATCAGCAGAAGCTTCTTCCTCAGTATAAGCAACTGGCAACAAATTCTATTATACAAATGTGTATTGCAGTCATACTCTTGTGACCACACACGCTGTGCAGTCCTGACTTGTGACCACACAGCTGTGTTGTGCAAGTAACTCAGCAATACTTTACTGTTTATTAAACATCCTTAAGTCTTCCTGTACCGCAGTTTTTCATGCAAAGAAAATGCATTTTCTGCATTTAGTTGATGCCTAAAATGTTGTCTTATAGGCATATAGGCAGTCATATGTCAGCCTATCCCAGCGCCGCAATTCCCTATAACTCACAGTTCAGTCTGGAAGAACATGGGTAACAATATGCTAGTTTCCCGCATGGGTAGCGAATGTACTAATTCTATATCAAGCATTAGATGGCTGAGTAAGAAAGGTTATAAAGTACAATCTGTATTTGAATGTAAGTATAGGTTTACATTTTAAGTAGGAATATCAATGTATAGACAAAACATTTCGTGACATGGTATACGTTGTGCAGTTCGGGAGGAGCTGCTGGGGGGGCAGTACGGCAGCCTGACGGAGGTGGTGGGTGACGTGCGCCTGATGCTGGAGAACGCCTACCGCTTCTACGGCCCTGTGCACAGCTTCACTAAGAAGGGCTTGCGGCTCGAGCACGTCCTGGAGCAGAAGATTGCTCTGCTGCCCAAGTGAGTCGTCCTGACACATGGCTGACTCACCTTAGTACACGGCTGACCATGCAGTACACGGCACTTAGTATTGCTGACCATGCAGTACACGGCACATAGTATTGCTGACCATGCAGTGCACGGCACTTGGTCTGGTATTGCAGACCGTGAACTGCAAGGCCACTGCCACAAAGGCCTTCAATGGACTTATTTGTGCGCTTTAAATGCTCCATTGTTCAATATGTGGTGCCTTATAGTACCACGTGATGCCGTGTGGTGAGGTATGGTGCTATGATGCAGCATATGATGTTTTGTGGTTCCTTGTGGTGCCGTGTTGTGGTTCCTTGTGGCGCCGTGTGGTGCCTTATGGCGCCGTGTTGTGCCGTGTGGTAACGTCTTACCGTGTCGTGCAGGGAGATGCGGGAGCTGTGCAGCCTTGAGAGCACGTCAGGCAGGCCCGTGTCGCCCATCAAGGAGACGCACCGCAACAAGACCGCCAAGATCTCCGTCAACGGTCAGCTACCCGCTCTGAAAAATACATCTTATTACCACGTTTTGCTTAGCTTCGTTTCGTGTCTGTCTGTCTGTCATCAAAAATTCAGACCTTAATTTAGAGCTCTTCTGAACATTCTAGAAACTTGAAATTTGACATGCATGCTTATGCTGCCTAACAATTCAAGATTTGATCATAAGAAATAATAATTAAATTTTTTTTTTGAAAATTTTATTTTTTTAAATAAAAAATAAAATAAAAACAACACTAAAAATTCATGGTTTGAAATTGAGTTTTTTCTCGAACATCCATACTTGCCAACCCTGGAAATTGATTTGAATTGCTAAAATTGCTAACTAAAAGGGAGAAAGTAAATAAATATAAAATATATTTTTTAAAACCACGTTTTTCTGGTTTTTACAAAACTAAAAATAATGAAATAAAACAAATAAAAAAGACATTAAAAACCACGTTTTCTTAACGGATAAAAAAGAAAAACATTTACTCATACATAACATTCAAGTTATGAAAATATGTCTTACATAACATTTAATTTATGTAAAATGTTATGTACGAGTAAATGTTTTTATTTTTTGTCCGTTAAGAAAACATGGTTTTTAAAAGTTTTTTATTATTTTTTTTTATAGTTGTTTGCTGTCTTAGTTTTCGTTTGAGAAGCTAATCCAGACAGGTGTACTGACGACGAGCCAGTTGCCTTATTGGGTCTCCATACTTGCCATTCTAGGCTTCACTGCACCGCTAAGTATTTTTCTTAGGTCTCAATACTCAAGAAATTGTTGTCTTGTTTCTGAGAATAAAACTGTAATTGGCATTATGTGTAAACCATTTTTGGTACACTTATGATGCCTTTATTGACCAGTAAAGGCAACTCTAAACCCATTTAAGACTATCCATGCTCCCCCATGCTATGTGTCTCGTACCATGCTTTTTAAAATTCATGTTTTTCAATCTATCCTATCTACTATTTTTGAAATTACTCCACATGATCACTGAATTATTTGTCATATTTTTGTTGAGTATTTACGACGTTCACTGCAACCCACCAAGTTTTTGCAGTTATCATATTGCAATCACACGAGGTGATAATAACATGTTACCTACACCTCTCCTGATATGTTACCTACATCCCCCTCTGATATATTAACCTCCACCCCCCAGCAGGAGACAACTTCTTCTCGCACGTGCTGCACCGCGTGAAGGGCTGCCGTGCCGCCCCTCCCCCTGATATATTAACCTCCATCCCCCCTGATATTAACCCCCCATCCCCCCTGATATATTAACCTCCATCCCCCCTGATATATTAACCCCCATCCCCCCAGCAGGAGACAACTTCTTCTCGCACGTGCTGCACCGCGTGAAGGGCTGCCGTGCCGCCCGTGAGAAGGAGCTCAAGAGGCGCCGCATGGAGGGCCTGCGGCAGGCTAAGCTGGACCGCGAGCTGCAGGTCGTGTCCTGGGACCTGCAGCTCATGGCAGACCATCTGCAGGCCAACCACACCCCCGTCACCAACATGTGGGAGGTGGGCGTGATGGGTGTGTGGTGCGTGTGATGCGTGTGATGGCTGTGTGGTGGAAGTGTGTTGCGTCTGGTGGACCTTTATAAATTTTTTACAATGATGACAAATAAAATGTTTCCCCACAGCTGCCGAGCATCGGGCTCTTCATCTTCCTGACGCTGAACGTCCTCCACATCCCTGAGGTCTCCCAGTACGAGCTGGAGCGCATCCTGCTCCTTCCTCAGGTGGGTGCTGCCCTTAGCATCAACCCCTCAGGTGGGTGCTGCCCTTAGCATCAATCTCCCTCAGGTGGGTGCTGCCCTTAGCATCAACCCCCTCAGGTGGGTGCTGTCCTTAGCATCAATCTCCCTCAGGTGGGTGCTGCCCTTAGCATAAACCCCCCTCAGGTGGGTGCTGCCCTTAGCATCAATCTCCCTCAGGTGGGTGCCGCCCTTAGCATCAACCCCCCTCAGGTGGGTGCTGCCCTTAGCATCAATCTCCCTCAGGTGGGTGCTGCCCTTAGCATAAACCCCCCTCAGGTGGGTGCCGCCCTTAGCATCAACCTCCTCAGGTGGGTGCTGCCCTCTGCATCAAGAAAATATTTTATATTTTAGGCACAGTATTAAGTAGTTCAGCATGCCCTGCAAATGCTGCCTCGCAGTTTACTGCAGTTGGAGCAGAAAGCTCCAAGGCACCAGAATCTCTGCTTCGCAGCCGTCGCTACTTTATCGGCCTCAAATTATTAGGCTATTTAGATCTCCTGACATTTTTTCATCTTTCTGCAATTCAGATTGCCTGAGCTGAATGTTTGGCAGTGAATTGGTGAATTTACCTCAATTGAGATAACATAAAATGATGTATTTTAAGTAATATATTATAAATAATATTAATATTTTATAATATTAATACATTATAATATAATATTATGTTTGTTACTGTGGTGTTTGTGCGTGCAGAGCTCGTCGAGCTTGGCGCTGCTGATGACGTCACTGCTGAGCTCGCCGCTGGTGCGCCAGAAGCTCGGGGCCCATGAGGTCCCTGCCATGCCCTACAGCGTGTGGGCCCGCAAGCTGGCCCAGCGGGCCGCCCTCTGGTACAAGTGCTACAACAGAGAGGGTCGCGACCCCTACAAGGTGGGACTCTGAGCCTAATGGTCCTGACCTCATACCTGAATGAAAGCTCCTGGATGTGAGCATTGTCTTTCAACCATGAATTCTCGGTTGTGAATTTCCGTTAGCATGCCTCTGTTGTGTCGGAGTATGGCACTAATAACAGCTCTGTTGTGTTGGAGTATGGCACTAATAACAGCTCTGTTGTGTCGGAGTATGGCACTAATAACAGCTCTGTTGTGTCGGAGTATGACACTAATAACAGCTCTGTTGTGTTGGAGCTGTCTCTTATACACATCTAGATGTGTATAAGAGACAGGGATAACGATTTGCAGGAGATGGAAGATGAGGGAGATGATGATGGAGAGGATGCTGATGAAAATGATGATGATGATGAAGAAGAAGAGATAGAGGAAGAAGTGGATGAGGAGGAAGAAATTGATGATGAGTATGGAGAACACTCTGATTTGGGGGTGAGTGGACCAAAGGTACCTTTAATTTAAAGTATGAAGCTTCATACAGTACCCAAGTATCACCAGTTCCATGATTGTTTTTTGTTAAATTTACTTATGTTAATTTTTTCTGATCATGATAACTGAAATTGTTTGAATTTACAAAAATTTGTGTTATGTTTTATCTAGTTACTTGATGAATTTTGTCTGATTTTGAAATTTTCACTTGTCAGGTCACTCCTCCTAAGAAGACCAACTCTATGTACTCGGGCTTTAATGACATCATCTCCGGGCCCAATTCATATTCTAGCCAGTCAGCCACATATACCACAAATATTGGCTCGAGCTCACATGAAGGTGATGGACATACAAGAAGTGCTGTCAATGTCCAGATGGTAGCCAAGTCTGCCACAGGAGTCGCATCCTATGATGGCTCACACACCAGGGTAGAAAATCCCTTATTTGATGACCTGAGCTACTACAGTGGTGACCTCAGTGATGACGCCAGCACTGGTCCTTCTCTGCCTAGCATCACTGAACAGGATGTGAGCACCCACATCAAAGGCTCCTTGTCATTTGGCCTCCCCAAGAAACTTATGATGAAAACAAAACTTTCCTCTGTACGTTCCAGCCGACCAATCTTGTTATCTAAAACCTCTATCAAAAAACCTGGGCCTAAGAAAAATGTGGGACGGGGCAATAAATCCTTTGTTGGGGATGGCAAGGATCTAAGCAATGGTNGTATGACCCTAATAACAGCTCTGATGTGTCAGTATGACCCTAATAACAGCTCTGATGTGTCAGTATGACCCTAATAAAGGCTGTGTCGCGCAGGTGTTCGAGGTTCTGGGCATAGAGCCGCAGTTCTGGCAGGTCTGCGGCCCCAAGAACCCGTGCGAGGCGAGGCTCTTCCACGAGCTCAGCGTCCACCAGCGCGTGTGGCTCCTGAAGTCCCTCTGCGACTACCTGCTGGTGGGTCACATGACACATCCTGGTGGGTCACATGACACATCCTGGTGGGTCACATGACACATTTATCCCGGGGTCACATGACACATTTATCCTGGTGTGTCGCATGCTCACTTTGTAATCGGTCGAAATCATTCACTATTCGCCGCATTCATCTATCCATCTCATGTGCATCTTTTAACTATAATCAATGATGTGCGCCTCTACGACAGTTCTCGTGGCTGTCCTCTGAAAATATTTATAAAGCTGGTTGTTTTATTTGAAACGTGTTTCATTTAACTGTTTTCCTTAAACCAAATTATGTTTATCCGTACTAAGTGAAATTCTAAGTGTAATGGAATACAAGCGACAGAAGCTTCATTCAGATTGGTGTTTTGAATGAGATAGTTGCCGGCACTTCCTGCAGAGCTCGAGCCTTTTGAAAACATGTAAAGGGTGTGGCGAACGACCGGTGACAACTTCCTCCTTGTTTATTTGGTACACTACCTCAACCATACCTCGTCCTGCTCCCCATCATCTAAGATGCTTCTTCCCCCCCCCCTTAACTCAGAGCTGGTACCTCTAATGTGCTCGCTAATATTCTCCCTATAGCCTCTATAATTGGCTTCCTAATGGTCCCATTAAATGTGCTCCTGATGGCACTTCTTTCTCATTGCCTCTAGTGACCCCTAATGATTCTGATGGTTCTCCTAATGACCTCATAATGGTTCTCCTAACGGTATCCCTAGGGACCCTCTAACGGTTCTCCTAATATGACGTCTCCCTAACGATCCCCTCTGCCCCCAGAGCAACCACAAGAGCATCCTGGAGGTGCTGGAGGGCCACCCTGAGGCGGACCTGCGGGAGTATCTGCTGGGGAGCGACCGGCGGGGGTGGCAGTACCTGCACTTCCCGCAGTTCTGCGGCCGCAGTCTGCGGGTCTACAGGCGACGCTTCCCCTCTTATGATCCTCACACGGTTAGTGCCTTGACCTTTACTACCTTAACCGGTGAGTTGAGGTCTTTATTGTGTACTGATGGCCTTAACCGTTGAGTGGTGTTCTTTACTGTGGACTGGTAGTTAACCCTGTACTAGTAGCCGTGCCGATTCCATTGTACGCCAAGTACTCTCTACCTATCATTCAGGTATCATTGTGTGTCATTGTATATGTCGTACCGAAATCGCGGAATTGCCGATTCTATAGAATCTGCAGCCAGTTTACTGAATCTGTATAATCAGCTTTTCTATACCATAGGAACCTGTGTTTAGGTCAGTCAGCCAAGTTTTTTTTATGTTTCAATTTAAATTAACTTGCGCGAACTTGACCTAACCTTTTCTGATTATCGATTTATGTTCTAACTCTTAACTCTAATATCCGATTTTCTGAATCGGCAACGATACGCTGATTCTACAGATTCGGCAAACTCGCTATCGATTCCATAGAATCGGCAATTCCGCGATTTCGGTGCGGCGTATACATGTTCTAACTATAACTCTTGTATGTCATTGTATAGTGTATACACTCAGGTATCATTGTATGTCATTGTATACATAATTTTACGAAATAGTTAGAATAATTACGACGCTTTACGAGCAGATGTTCCCGACGAAGAAGGAGGACTTGGCGGCCGACGAGCGGGCCTTCACTAAGGAGCAAGTCAAGGACTTCAGGAAAATGCTCAAGGAATTCAAGAAGGTAACCCTTTATAAATATACTTACTTGAGGAGAATCTTAAATTCTATATTTTACCGTTGATTAAATAGCAGACGAGCTTTGTAGTTTGTGTATGTTTTTGCAAGCAAATGTGGTCACGTACATGTAACCGTTGTTATACTGCCATGTATGGCACTGTGGCAAGGTGGCACCGTGGCAATTACCCTTTATAAATACGTCTCATCTTCATGTTCCAGTGAAATACTTTTTATTAGGACTTGCCACTAAGGGTTCCCATAGGGATCCCTATTTAGGGTCCCCAGTAAGACGGGGATGTTTTTATGTTTATGGTTTTGCACCAACCCCTTCCCGCGGGGTTAAATCGTGAGCCCTGCCGCTGTGCTTCCTTGCATGTTATGTGACATGTTGATTGTGTGACATGTTCGTTACATGTTGTACATGTGACATGTTCGTTACATGTTGTTTGTGTG